GAACATTCTATCCCAAACAGGGGGAAGGGGTAGGATTATAAGAGAATAGGTGAGTGTAGCTCAACCCCAGAGTATGCCGACTCAGAAGACTGGCCTTGCTATCCAAGCGGGGGTAAGGATCTTTCAGATCCCCATGCGTCTTGACTGGAAGGCGTGGTAACTCATTGTGGCTCCCCACATGTGCCAAGCATTGGCCCAGGGTGACTTGAACTCTTGACCACTGGTGATAGCACCCAGAAGGTAGGCAGATGTCGTCTCTGGCAGGGTGAAGTGTGGAAGCAAGGGAGTTGTGTGTGGCTGGGCAGGGAACACATTTATGGGGTAAGAGGAACATGGATGTTCATAGTGCTAGAGGATGAAGGCAGGCCACACCCTGAGGGAGAAATGTGCATTTATAATTGGGGGTACACTGTGCCCAAGTTCTTCCTTGATCCTGTTTTATGATTCCTTTCTGTTGGACATAGGAGGTCCCAGAGCCCACAAAGTATTTTGTCACTCGGTGGAGCACAGAGCCATGGATCCAGATGGCATACAGTTTTGTGAAGACCTTTGGAAGTGGTGAGGCCTATGATATCATCGCTGAAGATATACAAGGAACTGTCTTTTTTGCGGGTGAGGTGTGTGTCTCAATTCAAAATTCAGTTATATTTTGATTTTTATTATAATTAAAACAATTGCCATCCAGAGTTTAAAGACCATTATGTCAAATACTGTTCAGCATCTTAAGACAACAAATGGAAGCCTTCTCACACTCCCAGAGGCAGTCATTTTAAACTCTTCTAGCCATTTTTCCAGGACTTTCCTTCCTATCTTAAGAATTATGTTTATATCGCTGTCTTCTGACTTAACATTAGACAGAAGTGTTTATTGACTAGCTGTCTAGATTAAAGATTCAACACATTTAGTCTGCAGCACTTCAGTTAGATTGGTGGGTGTTTCTATGCAAATGTGTGCTGCTGAGCCAGGGTGTCTGTGGATTCCATCTTGGCCAACATCAATTGCTTCTTTGGTCATTATCCTGTTTTGGTCCCTGTCCCCTTCACACATCTGATTTCAGTCCAGTCTGAGCTGGCCCATTACTTCAGCCTCTGACCTCCCCCTCCCCCTCCTGCAGTCCTTCCTGGTTCCAGTCTGGGGGCTTGCTGTAGGGCCTGCTGAGTCTTTAAACCACTCTCAGTGTTGGGCCTTTGCTCCAAGATCTGCTTTTCTCTGATTTATTTGTTGAAAATGCTGTTGTTCTGATTCTGGTCCTGTCTTTTTTCATTTCTTGTAATCTAGAAACTCTTGTCTTTCAATCCTAGTTTTATTTCTGATGATTCTCTCTCCAGTTTTTACTTTCACTATTAGATCTGCTGTCCTGGAACTCAGATCAACTGATATTTCTCTTTATTGTTCTTCGTTTCTTTTCTGCTTTGGGGGATTTTGGAGGGGAGTGTGGGTGTGATGGTATCTCCCAGCTGTTAAATTGGCTCTTATATTTCAGAGTGCTTTCTTGTTCTCAGTGCCTTCTTCTTACTCCATAGCTTGTTTCTTAACTAAGGTTATTAAAACTTGGTTTTTTACTTCTTCCTGGAGTTTCCTCAGACTTTCTATTCTGTGTGCTGTAGTCTACCTGCTGTGTGTCCAAGTGCCCCACCCTTGACTTTAAGATTTGACAGCTTCAGCAAGTTCATCAACTGGTGGTTGGACTCCACATCAGTGCCTTGGGACATTTAGTTTGTGTGGTGGAAGCAGGAACCTCTTGTTACTCCAGTTTCCAAGTGACATAAGGGGTCTCTTGAAGAGTGGTCTTGTGAGGGGCTTTTGCCAGTCTTTATACCAATCCTGTTTTCCTCTGAAACTACTCTCTGCCTCCATAGTTCCTCATGCCCCTAACAGCTGAGGTTTTCTAGGGTTTCTTTGAGGAACCATTTTGCAGTCATTACATTTATTATATTACAGTTTAGGGTTACATGTCTCCCTGTTTATTTTAGAAAACAGTTGATGTTTTTTTTCTGTGATTTTTGGGTAATTATTAAAGAATAAAAGAATGTCATCTTAAACCCAGATGGATTGACTACTCTTGGGCCTCTGAGGAGCCCACTGCAGGAAGGGCACATGGCTGCACACAGACAACGGTCAGCCATTTGCAAGACATGGCTATTTTAGAGTAAGGTATTTAAGGGTCACAAGCAGGATTTAGGCTGTTCTAGCTTTCCTTTGATGATTATCATAATTCACCCACTAAAAACCCATTTCCCTAAGGCCTGTGTTGCTACCCACCACCAGTATTCATTGTTTTCAATCCAGTACCTCACACAGATACCTAATATTTTAATGAATGTCACACAGGCAGGACAGAATATTGTAGAATTAGCAAGTTGGGCAAAGCATGGCAAGATAACCAAAGAAGTTCAAATGCTGTGATGGGTGAGAAGTGTTATTGTGAGCACACAGATTGGGACAGGAGTCTTACTTTAGGAAGATCAGAGAAAGTATAAGCTTATATTGAACTCTTCGTGCATGAGTTCAAATTATGTAATTTTTTTTTTTTTTTAATAGGCGACGAACAGGCATTTTCCACAAACTGTTACAGGGGCATATTTGAGTGGTGTTCGAGAAGCAAGCAAGATTGCAGCCTTTTGAAGAGAATTTGGACCCTGCTTTTCTTTCTGTATCCCAAGTGGGAAAGTTTGAAACACATGTTCAACCTCAATTTTATAAGGGGGAACTCTTGATAGGTGCAAACCCATGCCACCACTCTGAAAGCATGAGCTCCCCCCAAATCCTTATGAGCACTTACATTTAATTGCATCTTCTATAGGTCCAAATATGCTGTCTTCTGGGTTTCAGAGTAAGGCAGAATATAACCTTAAGTTGAGACCTTGAGTGTGGTTCTTCCATGATTGGAGGTTCCCTTCAGATTTGACAGTTTTTTTTGGCTGATCAGTTTTCATACATTGTGAAACCAAGTTAAACAAGCAGGAAAAACAACATACTAGATAAAACCATGTCTGTCTTCTGTGAAAATTTATCAGTATCTTTACCAATGAGCCTTAATATTTTTATATGGATCCAATATTGAACTTAAAATCAAACTTTTTTTGATACATTAATTTCCAGTTAAAGTTAAATGAAGCTTCTATTTTATAACATTTCTCCCCATTGAAAATTCAAAAGAAAAATTCAGTTTATCTTTGGAGATATTTTAGAGATTTGCATAATCATTGGCAAAACAAAAATCTTAATCCCTTAGAATAGCGCCCCCCCCCCCCATTTAGAATGGGGTGCAGTGTGTTATCTTCACACCATGACACAGGATATAGCTATTTTTCTTAAAGTGCTACACATTCAAATCTGGAGTATCCTTAATTTTGGCAATCACTATTATTCAGTATTATGATTCGGGAATCATAAAACAGATTCATAATTTTTGTATAATTATGTTTAGTTTTCCATAGGCAGGTCCATTGGAAAACTGCAAAAAATGTGAGTTATCTTGGTAAATATTACATTTATAAAAGCCTACAACACGGTAAGTATTTACTTTTTCCACTTAAATTGATAAACATGGGTTTTAAGGTCTTCAAGATACCTATTTTGTCAAGAAACTTTAGTTTACAGGTTGAAAATAAGCTTATTTAAAAGTTTTTGAACAATTCTTTGAATTATATTGGTCTGCTTTTAAAGCCACTTTTAAAAATAGGAACTTTTCAAAAAAATCACTTTGTAAGAACAAAGAATATCATTCAAACAGTGTACAGTGAACTTCAGACACACACATACACGCCACCCCCTCCCCAAAGTATGATACAAACAAAGCCAAGAGCTATATGTTTCAAAAATTAGGAAACATTGATGTTTAAGTTGAGACTCATTGGTACTGATTAGGAGGTATTCTGCTTTAAAGTATTGTTTTAAATGTTTAAACAGCATGCATTATGTTAAGTGATGATAAATGCAAAATGTTTGAAATGGTTCACAGTAAATTATTACTTTACTTTCTGAGCACTTAAGGCTACTGTGCTACAAGTAGGAAAAACCCTACTTAAAAGATGGTAAATGTGTATTTAAAATAACTGTCTTAAATGACCTATATTTTGACATTTTGTTCTTTAAGGAGATATGGTACTTTTCTTTAATTGAGTTACTTTGAATGTTTTTCAGTGTTGTCCCAAGATTTTGTAATTGAGTAGCAGCGAATACACACTTTTACAGTAATTTAACTTGCTGATCACAAATAGCTGGTTGTGTAAAACTGCTTAATAAAAACTAGACTTTTTCAAATATGCTCTGTGTCTGTGCTGCAGTGGTAAATGCTCTAACTGGGCATTTCATCACCAAGAACTCACGCCCACCTCAGTCCCCTCACCTGCACACACACATTCTTATCCCCTTTATAGTAATGGGTTATGAAATAGTTAACTGTAGTGCTCATCAAATTATGTTATGGGGCTAAAGCCATTTAAAAACTTTTACTATAAGGGGGAAATGATACGTAAACACATAATAAGTTAAAACATCAAATTCAAGAGACTTAAAACATCACTATTTTTATTGACAAGGTTTGTAAGAACAGATATTTAAAATCAAAGGTCAATTTTTAGGTCTTTGTTGCTTATTCCATTCACTTGTATTAAGTATGCTTTCCCCTAATGTCCTAACTTTATCAAGAAACTAACCTGTGAAAATACCTGTTAAATCACTTATATATACATTTCTATGATGCAAAGTTTTTTAAACACTTCAATTGGTACATCAAATATCTGTCATAGGCAGCATGTTTAAACTGATTAAGACCATTAATTTAAAAGACAAAATTTAGTCTTAGAATTCAGGAGTGGGCTGGGTACAGTGATGAAAGCCTATAATCCCAGCTACTAGGAGGCTGAGGCAGGAGGATCACAAGTTTGAGACCAGTCTAGGCAACTTGGTAACATCCTGTCTCAAAAAAGGGCTGAGGATATAACTCCGTGTTGGAACACCCCTGGGTTCCATCCCCAGTACAGGGTGGTGGGGGGGGGGGGGGGGGGGGAGAAACATGGATATGACCACGAGTGGTCCACATGTTGATCACTTTGAATCTTGATTGGCCAAAATTTATTTAAAATGCAAGAGCTCTGATTCCACATTAAATTTCTTCAAGGTTAAAAATATTACTTTTGAGAAACTGTCAGGTATCTGCTATTACCTACACATTATCTTCTGGCATTACACCTCGTACTTTTATCATAATTATGAAGGTGGCCAGATTTCCTGTAAATATCAGCATTTTATATGGTCAAAATCAGTTAATAAAATCAGTTCATTTACTATAAGCCAAATGTGCTTGTACTCAAGCCCACCCTTTCCCAAAGTTTTTGAAGCTTTGATGTGTTGATTTTGGTCTGTCCTTAATATAAAATGCGTCCACAGACACTTTTGCAGAGTTAACACAAACTATAGATGGATGACACTTTCGAGGCATAGCAGAACTAGACAGTTCCTTCAGTGTTCCCATCACTGAATTCTGACTTCCCCTGCTCTGTCACTCCATCTCGGCAAACACTGACATTTCATAGTTTACAAGTGTAAATAAAGGTCCCTACCTATGTTGAATTTAAAAACTGATCTGCACAAAAGAAATAAAAAAAACTTTATATACAACAAATTGGTTTTTTAAAAATACAAAAATAACATCTGTCATTTCTGTCATGCTGACAATTTGACATATATACACATGCAGAAGAAAGTTCCAATTTAGTCACTTGGCTAGCTGTAACTTGTTAAAGATGAGCACACCGCCATTGAGTTTTAACATTGACAGAAGAAAATGTGTATTCAAAATATATAGTAAATACTGCAAGTCTCTGCATGTATAAATGCTGGCTATAATAGTTTTGTTCTACTTGATTAAAATATGTCTTAAGCAGTCTAATGTTAAGTGCACTAAAACCCACAACACTTCAGGAATCTATGACCTTATATAAAGAAATCCAAAATGTACAAAGTACAACTATAAAAGCAAGGAACAATTACTGCCATGCAAGATTTTAAACTAAAAACTGCATAGAAATGCAATTTAAAGCGGCAAACTGATTTATGTAACACTCAAGATAAAAAAAGGTCAGCAGTAATCCTTAACGAGAATTTAGAAAAGGAAATACATTCTCTTTGCTGGTATAATGGTATAAATCAGATCTTCAAATCTATGGGAACAAGTCATCTGTCTCTGTCCTGTATCTCAAGAAATTAGCTGTAATGAAAGAAAAACATTATTTTACCTTGCCCAACACAGAATATTAAGTATACATAAATCATAAAACTTGACCCCATTTTTGTTTTTAACATGTTTTATTACTGTGACCTTGGAAAATCAGGTGGGTCAACATAAAACTGCAACTACTATGGATCTCCCCTACCTTGTACTAGAAGAATTTGCCCTGACATTTTTTGAGCAACTCTTGAGATGCCTCACTACTAGGTACACTGTGAATTCACATCTAATCTGAGTTCAGATTCTATCACTAATTGTTCAAACTTTATTAAATATATATTCCCATCATTTTGAATAAATGAGGATCAAATGTGATATTTAATGATAAAAATACGCTAGAAAAATATACAAAATAATATTTATTTTGTCTTCTATGTCCCAAATGATCAAACTATGAAAAGACTAAAATATTTACCTCTTTTACAGTTGTTTTTATGAAGTCTTTTCTCTCAGTTAAATCATAAGCAGGATAATTTTCATATACCTATAGAAAAAAGGAAAAAAACATTTAAAGAATTTAAAATCCAAGATTCTGTCTCTGAATATGCACAAACAGCTGCATGTATATTTGAAGAGTACTCATTTGTATTGCAAATAAGCACTTTTGGAACACGGTACACAAAGAAAATGAACATGCAGACATTCTCAGTGCTTTATAAACTGGCAGTATGGGCAATAAATATGGGTTAAGAAAACATTTCTGTTAACTTCTTTAACTAATCATCTGTAATATTGCTTTTTTCTTTTTTCTGTACAGGGGACTGAACCTAGGGGTGGTTTACCATTGGTTTACCTCCTTGGATCTTCATCTTTTTAAAATTTTTTTGAGACAGGGCTTCATAAGCTGCTAAAGCTGGCCTTGAACTTGTGATTTTCCTGCCTTATCCTCCCAAGTAACTGGGATTACAGGTGTGTATCACAGTGCCTGGCTCTGTGAACCATCTTTTGATATATCCTTTCTTCTCTGTTAACATCAGCCAACATTTTATCTATAATTCCACAATTTGAGCTTCAGCCTCTCTAATCCAGTGAATCCTCTCCCCAGTAAATTCACTAACATTTAAGAGGTCTCAGCAGTCCTCAACTCCTAAAAATGACTAAATTTCAATCTCATTTGTCAAGTTTCTTTCTCAGTCCCATTATACCTGCTACTTGACTTCTAAGCCCAACACCAATTTCTCACAATCTTATAAGCATCCTTCTGCTTAATTTCTATCACAGTTCAGGGCCAGAAACTTTTTTTTGGTAAAGTATTATAATGTAAATAGTTTCAGCTCTCTCCAACTATTAAGAAAACCAAGTGGTATGATGGATTTAGTTCATAGGCTGTAGCTGACCAACCTTTGCAAATATAGTCTATTATTTAAGTTACCCTCATGTCCCTTGTTCTTCCCCTGTAAGCCACAACTCTGAATTGGTCTAACTATCCATTTCTCTATGGTTAGGCTGAGGCCAGAGGTTACTTTAGAAAATTATTAACAACTTTGAAGTGACTGGCTGCTTTAGCCTTCTAGCAACTGCTAGTCTCAGGTCAGGTTCTCCCTTTATTCTCCGCACTGGCAGTTTCATCTCCTTACTGCTTTTACTCAAGAAGCTATTATCGTGTCAACTTTCTGACATACCCATTTCCCCTCCATTTTACCTGCATTCTTAATGATTCCCATTTCCTTTACCTCCACAGGGATCTATCCCTCAGCTCCCCTGTGGCTCCACCTTCTCTTTTCCCAGCATTTGCCCCCTGGCTCTTCTCTGGTCCCTTTAGAAATATTTTCTCACCAACTTGAAGCTGCTTGAAACAACATTTAATTTATTCATGTTCCTCCCAATTAATTCTTGATTCCTAATTAATTCTTGAGATGATGAAATTCGTTTTATTAACCCTCAAATTTACTATTATATGATCATTTCCTAATTACTGTCTGAAAAAAAATACCAAGTCTTTCTTTCCCAACCTCTCCTTGTTATTAATGCCTTTTAAAAAATGCACAAATTGACAGAAATCCTTCAAATGGCCTATATAATCTCTCTTCAAATTCTTCTGCACTCTGCCCTCATTTAGTTTGGGACACTCAAACACACATAAATAGCAATATGGTTTTTCTGTATGGTATTCTATATTTTAAAAAATTTAACATTACTTGGAATATTCTTCCATGTTATTATGAACTGCTACACAGTAGTCCAAACAATATGGATGTACCAGTTTAAACATTTCTCTACTGATGGCCATTTCTGATTTTTCAGTATTATAGGCATTAGTAAATATAATTAACATTATTGTAAACATTTTTGTACAGATGTAACTATGTCTTTAGGACACAGACCTAGGAATGAAATTGCTGGGTTAAAGGGTATTTGCAATTTAAATTTTAAGATGCTACCTAAGTGTCTTCTAAAAAAGTTGTTAACAGTGAAAACTAATTTTCTTCAATCTAATAAGTAAAAATATTTCCTTCCAATTTTTATTTCCCTGAGTAGAAGGATAAGTGCTTTTGTATATTTGCAAATCTATTCTGTTTTTTTCCTTGGTGCTACCTCTTTCTTGAAACTCTCGTCTCTTGACTTTCCTAGCCCCGCTCCCCTGACCTTTCTTCTTCTACTCTATTTTCTTATATTTTATAGAAATTACTTCTCAACTCTATGTTGGTGGTTGTTAGGACTGTTTTACTTTTCTTACCCTTTATCTTCCCTTGGCTACCTTATTTATATTCCTGGTTAACTCTTTAGCAATATCCTGGTCTAGATTTCTTTCCTAAAATGGAGAATCACAACGTTCCTAATTTTGTTCACTTAGTTATGCTAAGCACTCCAACTCAAAATATCTAAAAACAAAACAAAAACCCCCACATATTCTTCTAGAATATTCTTCCTGTTCTATTTTCTATTCTGAGAATGCTATCTAAGCTCTTATACCCCAATGAAGCAACCTCTGATGAGGCTTTCTTCTGACCTGGATTATAGCAACCCTGTTGATTTGTTGTGGCACTACAGATCAAATCCAAGGCCTTGAGCATGCTAGGCAAGCTACCAGTGAGCAACACCTCTGTTGTTCTGGTTGTGATATAAAACTGGGTTTCCTGACTGTCTCATCCTTTGTCAGGCTTCCTTCATGATTTCCTTGGGATAACTTTAAAAAATAAAATGATTTCTTTATGCCCTTGACAAATATTTCTCAGTAATCTATCCAGCATCCTGATTCCCCACTAGTTTCAAGTGGTGGCACAACCCTGTAATCCTAGCGGCTCAGAAAACTGAGGCAGGAGGATTGCCAAGTTCAATCCCAGCAATACATTGAGGCATTAAGCAAGTTAGTGAGACCCTGTCTAAAATTTTTTTTTAAAAATTTAAATAACGGGGGGAGTTGGGGATGTGTCTTAGCACCCCTGGGTTTAATCCCTGGGGTAAGAAGGAAAAAAAAAAAAAAAACAAACCCCAAACCAAAAACACAACACTCCCCCCACCACCACCAAAAACCCCCTAATTTAGTAATAAGGCATATATAAGATCTGCCAGAGTGTTTTAATTGTTGTTTTTCAGTGAGCAGTGTTCCTCAACTGTATGGAAAAGCTGATACTCTACAAAGAACTTAGTTAAAAATTTTTCCAGATGCTTTTTTAGACTCTTCCAAACTCCTTCCCTCAATCCTAAGTAGTAAGTTGGTTCTGTGGTGCTGCAGCTTCTTCAGTACTGTTTTAACATGGCCCTCACATACAGCACTCTTACTGGAATACTTGTCTATCCCACCGAACCACAAGCACTATTCAAAGGCAAATAATGGCTTCTCTGCTCCATCTGTAACATCTAGCCTTGTGCCTGATATGTTGAATGGTTCAATAGGAATACACCAATAATCTGTTTTCTTAAAAAGTATGGGATATTTCACCTTTGGTACATTTCAAAGTTTGGATTTCATATTGCCATAAAAACATAAACTATAAACTCTCCCAATTTAGATCTAGGATATGGAATCCCTATGAAATCACACTCAAGGCTACAATGTTTATTTTCTGAGAAATCTTAGAAGAACTTCACAGAAGTGTAAGAACGTAATCTTTAAATTTACCATACTATCAAGAGAATAAGGTGCCCAGTAGATTGTTTTTTAAAACTAACACAATCTAAGAATATACTGGCAATTTCCAAATCTGGAAAATTTCCTATGCAGTTTGAAACATATCATCCAAATTTCATTTACTGACTTTAAATACTTATCCAAAGAATAAATGCACAAAGGAACGTAGCTTCAGATTAAGGAATAGGTGAAAGAAAATTTTAAGGCAAAAAAAAAAAAAGGATTAAAACATTTGTCTAATTACCTCTTTGCAAATCTGCTTCATTGTGACTTCCTCCAAGTTGGCATTGGCCAATAATTTCTTCACTGTTTCTTTTATCTCTTCATCTGTAGGTGGTTTCTTCAACTTTTTAATTAAAGGTTCATCATCTGAACTATCCTCAGATTCACTTTCTAAATGTAAGATAATTAAATATGAATTGAAAAGTAATTTAATATTTAAGGCAAGGCTGGAAGAATTTTATAAGCTTTCAGAATTTGCAAGGGAGTACTGGACCCCCAAATTATAAATCACCAACTTAAAATTTTAATTCTTAATAAAAATTACAATTTACCACAATAAGCTACTTATAAAACATGCATTAAAATTTCATGTTGATTTTGAATTTTTTTTAAGTTTTAAAAAACCTCTTTGCAGTTTACTTGTTTTCCACACACATTTAAATATTATGCACAAAATATATTTTGTACCTTTAAAATTGCTAATAATGTCATTTCTAACTTACCTTTTTTAGAACTGTTTTGATTCTTCTTGGTGGTACTACTATCTGCCTTCTTAACATTTGCACTCTTTACAGACTTTTTATTTTTAGGAGTACCTTTCTGTTTCGCTTTTTCCTTTTTAGAGGTCTTTTTTGGTGGCTGTTGGAAAGGAAAGCAAAGTATATATACTGATGTGATTCACTACTATTCCTCTATGCCTCTCAATATTAGAAAACATCAACATTAGGTTACAACAAATTATTAATTATCAATTTTTGAGAGATGACTAATACATTGAACACAATTATATCCCAATATAAGTCTAAGTACAAATCAAAAAACAGTTACAAAAAATAAAAGATGCCCACATTTATTCTGCTAGATGGGTAGGAAACCCCTATTTAATCCTGGGGAAAAAAATTTAAATCCTAAAATATATAGTATCATCTCTTATTTACTTTCTCTCTCTCCCAACTATAAGTTCCATGAAAAGGCCCCCCTCCCTTTGTCTACCAATATATTTCTAATTCCTAAAATAGTGCCTGCTATATAGTAGTAACTGTTCAATAAATATTTACGACTGTATGAGAAAACTATAGGCTCAGTGTGAGGTTATCTTGTCTACTGTCACATTAATAAAGAGCCAAGATTCAAATATAGATCTGATTCCAAAGTGTTTTCAAATATCCATATCTGATTAAACAGAAGCAAAATGCATATCTAAAGAGATTAAAATGACAAAATTATAGTTTATCGTTATTTTGCCTCAACCAGCTTCTCTGAAATTAGAAAACATTAATTCTTCATTTAGTTAACATTCTCAAAGGCAGAGCATTCCTATAAACTAATGCCCTAAGATAAATTAAAATCACCTCTACATACTACAATTGTCAATAACTTGAAGAATGTTCCTCGAATATTTATTTAAGTTAAATTACACATCATCTTTTCCTTTAAAAAATAGAAACACTGTGCATCCTTCAGATTTAAGTGTACAGAACAATTTATTCCAGAAAAATTAGTCTGAGCTCAGACTATTTCTAAGTGCAGTCCATTGGATTTTAGTGTCTATTTCTTGTAACAAAGTTTACAAGGAATATTAAAAGAAAAGTTTACATGTTTACAAGTAACAGTGTCTATTGTAACAAATTACAATACTATCATTATACATATCTATATACGCCTAATATTACCTGCACTACTACTTAAGTGATGTACCCTTGGCTAGGAACTAGCTAACACATCTAGTTTGGTTGCTACTAAAAAATCCACTCAAGATATCAAGGTGCTGACATCCTTCTCCAAGTACATGAGCTTTACCATGAATTTTTGCTCTTCAGAAGCCATTGTTACTTCCTAATTCTGATGTTCCAAATAGTAGGGACTGTGGGACAAGAATTAATCATTTTATCTTTCCTATAATTATCTTAAAGTTTTATTAGATGTCCACCTAGTTCACACAAGCTACATCAGGCTCCTAAGGAAATACTAAAAGTCCATAAATTCTGTTGACACACTTAAGACACAGAATAAAATAATCAGTATATCACTATTTAGTCAAGGGCTAATAAAATCTGGACGGTAGGTAAAATAAACTAAGTTATTATTCAAAGACTTCGGGAAGGTGAGCAACAAATGATACTTGAGCCCCATTCAAATTATGTAATTAGATAATTAAAATACATCCAGAGGCTGGGCACAATGATGCATGCCTGTAATCCCAGCTGAGGCAGGAGGATCGTGAGTTCAGAGCCAGCCTCAGCAATTTATTGAGACCCCATCTCTAAATATAATATAAAAAGGGCTGGGGACGTGGCTCGGTGGTTAAGCATCCCTGGGTTCAATCCCTGGCACCAAAAAACAAGACCAACGAACCAACCAAACAAAAACATCCAGAGCCTTTTATCATTTAAATTTTAGCAGTCACAAATAATATGGTGCCATTTTTAAACCTATAAATTCAGAGTGGTTAATAATTTGACAAAGCAATAAACATTTGCAGTGATCTCCATAACATTTTACTGACAAACACATAAACCTTTACATCTTTCTATATTTAACACCATCTTTTAGAAAGAATAATGTTCTATAGTCTAAGTGGACAACTAGCCTATTATCTAGTAACAAAATTTCTAAAAAACATACAGTTACCATAGAAAAAAGATACAAAACACAGTTCAGAGTGTGGGCTCTTGAGGCAAGCTGGCCTGCTTTCAAATTGCAAGCCCCAGTGTATCTCTGGGCCCTATTTTCCTTATATACTCAGAGAGCAAGATTACCTATGGTCTTATGGGTGATAAATGCATTAATGCAGGAAAGTATTCTTAATTGTGCCCGGCACATAGGAAACACTCAAATTAGCTATTATTACTTTTAAGAGTGGTTTTTTTTGGTAGTGAAAAATTCTTTCATTATGCAAATGAATTTTTTTCTAATAACTTCAAGTTTTTAGGTGTTCTTTAAAAGCAGGGCAGATTACAGAATAAAAATTTAAAAAGCACCCAGACATTCTCAAGAACAGTTGTATTAACTAACCACATCATATCATACTCTTTTCATATATTAACCTGACCCCAAAATACCAGAATCTCATTGTTATTCATACTGGATTTCATTTATCTTCAATAACCATTCACCCAATTTTCTGTGACAAACTTCAAGTAGGAATTCAGTATATTTTTAGGTTAATTTGTGTTAACTTGAGAAAGAGCGAAACAACTAAACCTTGGATGTAGTATCTTAGGCAGAGTAGTAGGACAGCTGATGAATTCTTATTGTGGCCGAAGTCCTGTGGGTGTTTAGAATCCCTTCTCCTACCCTGAAGATAAGCTATTAGGTATGGATAACTTGGAAAATGGAGACATTTCAAAGAACATACCTCAGTATTGGGACACAGTGGACAGGTTTTTGCAGTTAAGGCAAACATGGATCTCATTATTTAGATGTTAAAAAAAAAAAAAAAAAAAAACTGGGAAAATTGAGAAGGCAAGTTAAACCATGTCCACTTTAATTTTACATAAACTTTCCTCTACTTAGTAAAATCTTGATCATACTTCTGAATCCAGCTGAGAAATTATCTCTTTAAATCTTGTGGAAAGTATCCTCAAGCAGTGAATAAGAATATGGTTTTACAATCAAATCATCTGGTCCAAACCCTGACTCCACCACTAATTTTGTATTCCCAGGCAAATCACCCTTTATCTGCATGTTTCCTTATCTGTGAACATGGAGATAATAATGGCACCACCTCTTATCATTTTCATCTCTCTGACATTGGGGTACACTTTACAATCTACATAACAATGTCTTACAGGCATCATGGATTTGATTAACTATGGTCATATCTAAGAAATTCTGAGGATGAGTTAATACACATGGCAGCAAAGAAAATAGGTATTTAATATTTGTTTAACAATAGTTATTTTCCTATTTCTCCACTACACTTCAAGCTTAAAGGGAGATCTGAGTATCTCCACAAGAATAGACACGGATTACCTTTATTCAGCACTATCATTCCCTAAGCACCTAAAAAAGTGTTGTTTACAATCAAACTTGTAGTACAGCACTCACACATAATGTCATCAGCTTAAAAAAACAAAATAACAACAAAAAAAAAGACAAAAAAACCCCAAAAGCAACAAAAAGCCAAAGCAAAACCCAAATTGCTTAGCTAATTAAAAATCAGAAATGTACTTAGCAGTTAAGTGAGCCAAAAATTTACAGCTGTTAAGAAGTGAAGACCCTTGGTTAGTTCCAGTGTGCTTCATGCTCAATAATAAGACTTAAGAGGAATGACTACTTACCTAATGCACTTCTTTTAGGCCAGAATTGAATTTATAGAACTAAGTTAAAATAAGCCAACTGATACTACAACATATTTATCATGTGCTAATTTCCCCCCTATTGCATACAAATATTACAGATAACCCCAAATTTAAAATGTTGGCTAAAAATACAGAATGGCAACAAAGGAAAACAAATTCTGCATAAGGGCCAACTCTGGCCCTTACAGTCCAAACTTTGTACTGGCTCCAGGATTCTTTCTCTCTGTTTTACAGCTCTTATGTTCTATTGCAATTCCCCCCCACCCCCACCCCCGAATCTTTGACCTCTCTCCTCCCATCTACTCAACTGAAATGCATAAGGATAAAGATCTTGTTCATTATTTATTCATATGTAGCACTAATGATTATTTGGAAAACTGAAATGGAAAAAATACCTGGGGACAAGATAACGTTTAAAGATCTCTTTCAACCCTGAAGTTCTACTTTATTAAAATTACCCCGACACCTAGACAAGGATATATCCCATTCAACAGCAACCAAACCTCTTGATTTTTAATAACGCCACTCTTGACACAATTTACCTATATAGGTTGTACATTTGAAAGTGGGGGGGGGGGGAAGACCATTAGATCAGACCATCAAGATTAAGGGCACCTACACACACACACACACACACACACACACACACAATTTTGGTCACCAGGGATTGAACCCAGGGGCACTTAACCACTGAGCCACAACCCCAGCCCCTTATATTTTATTTAGAGACAGGGTCTCATCAAGTTGCTTAAGGCCTTACTAAGTCGCTGAGGCTTGCTTTGAACTTGTAATCCTCCTGCCTCAGCTTCCTGAGCCTCTGGGATTACAGGTGGGTGCCACAATGCATAGCATAACTATATATTATTTTTAAGTCCCACAGCTGACTTATCTAGCTATACCATATAAAATGAAAAATACATTTATAGTATAGCCATGTCACCAAGTTTTCTCCATAAAGTGCCAAATAGTAAATATTTCAGACTTTGCCAACTACATACAATCTCTGTTGCATACTCTTAATTTTTTAAATAATCATTTTAAAATGGAAAAAAACACATTCAGCTTATGGGCTATATAAAACAAGCACGGGCTCGATTTGGTGTACAGGTCAGAGTTTTTTGATTCCAAAACTAGATTTCGAATTATTAGAGATTTATTTATACATATAAGGAAGGAACCAGATAAGACATTCAAAAGGATAATTTCTTAAGTTACAACATTTATGTTAACAGCCTTTAGAATTTTAAGTTTTGAGAATTAGATTCTGTTCTCTTACTCAATACAAAAATAAATAAATTAGAAACTCTAGAAAAATACAAAATAGCACTTAAAAAG